AGAAGTTTGAAAATGTTTGAAGATAAAAACTGATTTGATTATCCTAAAAGTACAGAGAACATCATAATACATGCTGGTATCACAAAAATCATGAGTTAAAATACTTGAAAGAGATGAATGTCAATTTTCAGATGATCATGTCTGATATTTTACTGGAAATATTTTTGACCTAGATAATCTCCACCATGCAAACAGCATTTAGTGGTAAGGGTTTCAAAAAGAAACCGTTATATTTGACAGTCATGACCTAATGTTGGACACAAATGACTGAAATAAGTATTCAGAACTCAGACATCCGGAATCCGTCATTACTGTAAACATATTTTATTAAAGAAATCGTTATATATATAGCTATAAGGGTAAAGACATAAATACGAAATATACAAAAGATTCAATAATTGGGATTAGGAAACAAGAGCAGTGCTCTTATATAAATCTGTCTCCCTAAACTCAAAAATAAAATTACAAGCTATGAATACATGCTGAATAGCAATATTAGCAGTATGTAACAAAATTGTCAATGATTACAATAACAAAAGGACAATTTCATAAGAAAAAATATATAGCAAAGGAAGGGGGTGAAAGGTGTTTTTAGAAAAATGAGTGTTATTAAAGAATGAAACAATATTTCAATCAGTCATTATCAATTAGATACTTGAAAGATAATACAGAATTTTTAGAAGTGCAACATGTATGATGGTCTGGATTGGGTTTACAAAATAGAGAATAATGGGCAAAAAGTGCAGAATGAATGGCTGAATAATTAGGAATAGAGAAGAATGGGCAAAATAAATAAATAAAAAAAAATGTTATAAAAATTAAAAGAATAGAGAAAGGAAAGACCCTTAATCTGGACCTTCATGTATTTAACACATGCCACCATTCTAGGTTTAAATTGTGCTAAATTGTAAATCCATGTTTAGAGCTTATCCATTTTTTTCCCACCAAAACAAAGTTGTAGTTGTTAACATAGAATGAAAATACCTACTGTCATTAATACAACACCAATTCTCACACATATAGTTATGCAAAAATATTAATGTATTTCGACAGCATTGAATACTATTCTGACCTTTGAGAACTTCAAGATGAAACCCTTTTGTCAAACTACCAAAATCAGACGAAAAATCTCCAGACCCTTAGTGGTAAGAACAAAGACTGATCTTTGGATAGATGCCTGGTAAATGATATTAATTCTGAAAGGAAAAAAGTGCCAAGTCAAACAAAATAAATAAATCCAAAACGTAGCATTACATATAGTGTTTCAGTCTCTGCATGCATCCACCTATCTGTTTTGTCCCACTATATGTGGAAGGTAGTCAGCTGTTCAGCAGATGTGACATCACAATGTATTAAATTTAACTGCACCACAAAGTTCATTATGAAAAGAAATGTCCATGGAACTGTCACTGTTATGATAAAGATACAGGTATAAACTTGTTTCGTGTGAAGTAAATGTTATATCACAATTTTACGTCAAATGACCAATATTTCATGCAAATTCAGGACAAGAACAAATTGATAATCAATGCAACATATAGTTTGTGCAAAGTGAGTTGACCAAAATGAAGGGCGCGAATTTCAACTGACACTGAAAAAATAGGGTATGTTGTGAGAGGTGGGTATGTCATGCAACAGGTCTTATTCAAACCTGAAAAAAGAGTTGTTGCAAGGGTTTTTGAATGTCGAGAGAGAGAGTGACATCCTCTCTTAAGCAGACATGAAATAAAAAATATTCGAATGGATGTGGCTGTATATTTATACATCATGAACAAACATATAGGCGCCCACTAAGCAAGGGTTTAACTGTCATACAAGAGAAGTATACACGAGATGACCATATTTCTATAACTCAGAAAACCCTTAGAGTTTCTTTAATTAGAAATTTTTTTTTTTTAAAAGTGATATACAGCAGCGAATCATGATTATTTTGACTTGTAGAAAAAATGTACTTGTCCCTTAAAGACTAGAAATGCTGCATATATTGTACAGTATGGCTGAAAATTATGTTTCAGTGATTATAACTTGCTAGTAGCTTTTTGATATATGCAAATAATTCATTGCCATTTGCAAATAGAAAAATGAATAATATTAGTTATGACATAGACATTTTTGCATCTGTCTGACATTCCATGCACTTAGACTAAAATTTCTGGACCGTTGAATTCTTTGCTGTCTTTTTTCTCATGGTCATGATTGTATGAAAACACATTCTAAAGCTTAGATAAACCGAAAGATAGCATCTTTCAGACACTTCAAACCCAATGACGTGGAATTTCACGGTTATATGAGAATTAGTGTATAGTGCTAAAAAATGTTCATTTGCATATATCTGATAATCTGATTCATTATATTTGTCGCCTTTTTTTTTTAGCTATATGTTGTCTCTATTTAAAACCGCAATACTGGTACAATACTGATACACAATTTTATTCCAGTAAGTATTGTAGACAATACTGGTATACGTATAAGTACAGGAGATCCCTGGGTGTGTTGCCAAGACTGGTGGCTGTACAATGAAAGCGACAAATATGTCCTGTAAATTAAGGATGAGAAGAAGTGGTCGATATCAAAACCATATTTTGTATTAAAAACAGTCTTCGTTAGGTTTATAAGAACATCTTAAAGGTATACTGTTCCTATGCGTTTTATTTAACTTCTAGTTCTTAGCTTGACAACTTTATGCTTTTCTCAGACTGTTTACAACATGGATGACATCTTTACACTAAATCTGTTGATTGTAATGATTGATATTTTAGTCTTGGAGAACTTGATTTACTTATAAGTTGAGCTGCGTCGATAGAAATCGACCTTATGCAAGGGCACGTATACAAGTACATACACAAGACTGATTGATTTTGGAACATTCATATACAAAATAAAAGATGAATTTTGGTATGTTTTGTAGGGTTCTTCTAACCCGAAATAAGTTAACAGATGTATTGATTCACAGTGATATTCATTTACATAAGGTCGATTTATATCCGACGCAGCTCAGTTGCTATTATTATCTTTGAAATAGATTTCAATAACTTTGTTTTGTTTTTGTTTTTTACTTCATGCTGATCTGATCTTTCTGCTCACCTGGCCCATAGGACCAGTGTGACCTTTATCATCACTTGTGTTCGTCAGCTGTCGTCGTCCGTAACACCTAGCGCATAGGGACAATTAAGTAAGCTTTTCTAATCACTTGGCATCTGTCATCGTCCGTTCACTTGGCCACAATAATCACAGTTGCGGTTTTAAGCATATTTGATAAGTTGTAAGACACATCAGTGCGAGTGCCGTGGCACATTATGTAACACGAAAGCATTCATATCTCTTAAAATTCATTGTAAAATTTGCATTCAGCAAACAAAAGAAACCTGATAAAAAAAAATGCACCACGTTATAAGAATCAAATATAGATAGCAAACATGTGCATGTCATTGTTTTGAAGTACATGCACAGTAGGGATTTTGGCTTATATAGAAATGTTCTTGGTATAAACTAAAGAAGTCTACGACTTTTAGTTCTAAAATGAGAACAGTCAGACAATTCAGCTGTTCCTTGTTACTGTTTCAAGCTTCAGCAACCAAAAGAAGTAAAAATCAAACATATAATCTGTGCAATTTGGGGGGAAAGTTTTTTGTTTTCCGATTATTTTATCGTGTATAGAAAACATAAAACAATTAATTTTCCCCAAAAGTTGTACCGATTGAAAGCTCGATTTTACTTTTTTACGTTGCTTTTGCTTGGCCGAGTACCAGGATGTCCTACCAAAGAGAAGGTAACCTGTCGAAAAATATAAACTACGGAGTCAAAAGTCGGTAATATGAAAATAGTCTAATATCGTGTAAACAGAACGCTGTTCGTTTTAACTGGCCCACAGTATCAAATTAAATCGGATGAAAAATCGTAACGTGTAAACGCACCTTTAGATTTTGACAGCCGGGGTATCTAGTTTTAAACATGCGTCCCTCTTGCCAACATACATGGCAGACATGATCTAGAATAGTGCATAGGGGTAATATGCAAGTTCTGTCAATTATCTTAAAAACCACTAAAGATGAGATAATATGACAGGGATAAAAAATTTCAGAATGTTGAGGTCCATCTATTATAAAAATACGAAGATGTGGTATGATTGCCAATTAGTAAAACCCATACCGCATAGTCAGCTATAAAAGCCCCCGAAACTGTCTGACGATTTTGCCATTTTTTTCTCGTTTTTGCCTTTTATCATGAAAATTATAAAAGATAGATAGACACTTTCATAAGCAAAAATAATCAGCAAGACAAGATCTATAAATAACTCAAATTTTGCCGAAATCGTAAGTAGATTCTTTATAGACATACAACAAGTCTCATAAACCCATAACTAGCTTATTGCAATACCTTAATTGTGTACTATCAAGTTTCAAGTTTCAAGTTTTTATTTTCTCAAAGACCCCAACAGGGGTATGTGAACAATAACACAAATACTATATAAGTATTCATAATATAACAAAATAACAAAGTAACAAAGTAACAAAGTAATGCAGTGAACATTATAAACATTCATTAACATATATACAGGAAAAAGTAATGCGTTATCACACGAACCCCAAGTGAAAAAAGAAGGTATACAGTTAACTTAACTCTCGTTGTCTCGACCACGTGAACATTTCGACTCATCAGAAATTTCGAGTCAACCAATTTCGAGACAACGACAGTTAACTGTAACTTCTTCTTTTTTCACTTCGGGTTCATTTTTTTTTAAATCGTCAAAACAATTTCCCGTTGCTACGGTCGCCAGTATATTTTTTTACCAATTTACGACCCTTTTTCCTCGGACCCTGGGTCCGCCCCTGAAACGTAAGACAATAGTATTACGTATATCACGTATATTTCAAAGATAATTTTGAAAAAATAGTTTAAAGTAACTTTTGATAATTAAAGTTACCGAACTTTGGACTGTTATTTAACACATTGCTAGGTAATACGTAGTCATGTGACTTTATAGAACTGAAACTACAAATAAAATGGCAACTAGCGATGTAGGTGATGAACTAATTTGTGCACTGTGTCTCGAGATTTACAATGACCCCAGACTTTTATCTTGCTATCATACATTCTGCCAAACTTGCATAGAACAGTTAATCAATAAAGGCGAAGAAAAAGGTATATTCAAGTGTCCCCTTTGTCGCTCAGCGATCACATCGACGGAATTCCCATCTAATATTTACATACAAACACGAGTTACATTCAACAACGAGAAAATCAAATGCGAATTGTGTGAGAGTGATGAAAATATCACAGTGAAATGTATTGATTGTGATCAACTTTTATGCAAAAACTGTTCATCTGTTCACAGAAAAATAAAGTCTTGTAAAGGTCATAAAGTGATAGAGTATACTCAAACCGACTCTCAAAGTACTACTTTTAAAATAAAGAAAAACAGTTTCTGTAAAATACACACAGAGGAAACTTTACGTTTCCATTGTATAAAGTGCGAGGTACCTGTATGCAGGGATTGTAAGCATACATCACACGAGGGACACAGAACCGAAGATCTTGACGACCGCGTTCAAATTGCTTCAGAGTGGATAAGATCGTACAGTAAGGGTATTGATTTAGAAGTCGGTAATTTCAGCAATAAGGTGCAAAGTGTTTTGAACTTAAAAAACGAACTTGACAAAAATATTGTAAACGTACAACAAAGTTTAACTATTGTCGAGGAACAGATGTGTAAAGAGGTTAAAGAGGAGTGCGCTAAGACTTGGTCTGAAATAAACCAACTAACAGACAATCAGTCCAGCTTGATCAAGGTAAAGAAAGTTGAAATAGAAGCATTAATAAGTAAATTGACTAGCAAGAAAAGATATATTGACTCAGTTGTTTGTAGTGGTACTGATTCAGATATTGTTTTGTGTAAAAAACAGCTGTCTAAAGGACCAGAAATGTGCACGCCCACTGAGTTAATAATAACTATACCGACATTTTATGCAGACCGACCCAGTATTAAAGTTGGTCAGATAGCGGGGAAAAGGATACGTTTGCAACTAGAGCCAAAAGTAAAGTTTAAGCACACGTTTCATGTAGACATGATGAATAAATCAGTTTCAGCAATTTGTCTAATAAATAAAGATGAAGCGCTTATTTCATTTCGTTCAGATGCATGGAACCAAGGTTCTCGCGTAAAAAATGTTCTTGCTTACTATTCGTCAGGGATGGAAAAAGAGGTATATTTTATGCCACCACAAATGGATTTAATCACCGACAAAAACGGGCGTATTTATTTCTATGAAGATCACTTAGAAAAATTAGAAGGTGGTTTGACAGTTTATCTCAAACCTGACGAAGAGAATAAAACTGAAAATATTTACCCTTGCAAGAGACCAATCTCCATGGACATTCTTTCAAATGGAGATATTATTATATTAGACATTGAAAATACATTGTCGCGAATTAATTTTGATCAGAAAAAGCAGATTTGTTCTTTCGACGACGGTCACCTGACATCGCCGATTTCTATTGCAAAGAGCAGAGAAAATAAACTATGGGTAGCAGATCCGGGAAGCGGAAAAGTATTTGTTTTTAACACAAATGGGGAATTGTTATTCGAGTTTGATGTCTGTCAGATTCTAAAGTTATCTAAGAAATCAAAACCGAACAGTATTTGCTTCTGTGAAATCTTCAATATAGCGATAGTTGCAGATTCAATGAATAACTGTATTTTCGCGATAAGTGAAGATGGGTATTATGGCGAGATTGTTCTTGATGAATCTATTGACCTGGAAAGCCCCTCGTGTGTAGCATGCAAAGACAATTTATTGTGGGTATGCGATAAAAGGAGCAGAATATGCATATTTGAAATGTTAAAACCTTAAGTTACATAATTATTACTAGTACACTGTGAGTTGCGCATGATTGAAGAAGTTTTTTTCCTTAATTATGTCGGTTATCAAAGTTTGCCAAGTGCTGCTTTCGTTCAATATCATTATGAAATAAGTTGGTTCATATGCATGTACAATTTAAAATTTTTAAAAATATATAGTTAGAATTTTAATTTTTTTTTTTGCATTTTTCACAAAATCCCAAAATTAAAAACATTTTAAAGTTTTAGATTTTGATTTCTTGATTGTTGCTGGCTTAATTTCCAGTGGCAAATATTTCATTCATATTCAGGACGAGAACAAATAAACAATTAATACAAAATGTATGTATATGTTCTGAAAGGTAAAGGTCGACCTGAATAAAGGGCGGGAAACTTTGACTGCCACTGGAAAATAAGGGTATGTTGAAAAGGGGCAGACATTTTGCCTTTCAATATGCGAACTAAGAACTTTCAGAAAGTGTAGCCGTTACCCAGATCAAATATCAAATCGTCTTAGATTATGAACCTGAAGCTGATGTAACTGTCTGATACCTTTTGGGAAAAAAACGAAAAAAGAGCCCCGAATCTTTACAGAACCACAATTAAACGTCTTCTTTTGTAGATTAAACCAAGTTTCCAATATTTCTTCGACAAATATGATGGTCCAATACAAATGTCAAGCTAGAACCATATAAAGAATAAAACGACACCTTTCCCTTATCATTTGAGAATGATTTTTTTCGCAGAAATATGCACTACAAATGATCATCTATGCTCTCGCTCCACTCCAATCTGATTAAAATTCAGATCTATCTAACTCGTGTGCTCGTATATAACGAGGATAACGAAATCAGAGATATATATTTTTCGGATTGTCTACACTCTTGCACTTCGGTGTTCGTTGGATGTACTGTTAATCTAATTCATTACTGACATTGAACTTTACATATTTTATGAACATTTCAGTTTTCTTAATCTTACTCAATCTTTCTTGCGGACATTTAGCTGTGTATTGCATATGTTATTGTTTATAATGATATTGTTTGTATGCTATATGCCCTCCTGGGACCCTAATTTGGTGAGTAAAATATTTTATTCTATTCTATTCTATTCAATTGTATTTGGTTGTAGAAGGGAAAGTTGCTTGTCGATGGCTTTATGACTTTTTGATTGCGACTGTTCAATTTTAGAAATGCATGGACAGTTTTTTTTTGTGTGCATATTTTGGGCAGAGAGACATGGGTATATGATTGCACACTGCACATCACGTAAGTTACGATTAGTCGATGTTTGGAACTCATTTCATTTGTGTATATATACTGAAATTTTAATAATCCGCCATTTATAGGGGGATTAATATACCGTTATTTACACATCAGACCGCACTGATTATCTGAACTTTGGATACACCAAACAATGTATACTTCATATCTGAGAAACAGGCAATATATGCCCTCAACTTTAGAATTCATTCATACATTTTTGTATTATTCAAAGTTATCAGTCAACATTTGTTCTACGAGGATCACCAGTCCTTCACCTTTCATTTGATACCTAAATAACACAAATATATTATACATAGTTTGATATTATATCATGTTTTGTATTGCAATGGTCAAAATTTTCTTACGTTTTCAACATTGTTGATTCGGGATGCTAATTATGTCTTTTAAAATCAAATTGAAAGGTTTATTTGTATTTGTGTTTCGGTTTTTAACGCAACTTTTAGCGCCCGTGGTTGTTTCATATCGGACCGTTTTCTATGGTAGAGGAAGTCGGAGAACCTTAGTTGCAATATAAATTGTAAACCCGTGGAACAGACTCACAAAATACACCAAATAATATCCACACATTTTGTTACAAATCTTTTTGTCCGAGACTTATCGTGTTACAGTTGTGGATAACTGATTTAAACGAGTAATATACGATTGCGAGAAAACGAATTTATAGGAAACTTCAAAAAGGTAAAAATTGATTCAAAATGTCAGGAATTGATTTCCGAAAGAAAAATAATGACCATTGCAATACAAAACATGATATAATCGAAGACATTGTTGAAAAGGACATGATAATTGCGGTACTGGCAGACGATACAGATTATGAGTAGTAACTGTAATAGTATCAAAAAGACCACAAATTATATAAAAATATTTCCGATGACTGGGGTTGTTCGTTTAGCGTGAGGTTCTAAAGTTGTCAAAAGGCTGTATTGCAAGAGGATAAAAAATCAGCCATTTGTTTTCATATTTGTGAAGCGTAAAACTGAGATTTGTTATTTCTCTACAATGCGATTCATATGTGTAGAACTTGAAATGAAAATCAAGTTGTTGCGCCTGAAGAGTTACTCCTCTATATCATAAAATGCTTGTAAACATATGGGATGCATATAACTATTTGTTCTGACAATCGTTTCATTTCTTAATTTCGAATTGTTCCGTTATTAAAAAAAAGTAAAGTGTACTTTTTAAGTAAGAACCTTTAAACTTGTAATTCCTCTCACACTTTTTTTTTATTAAAGCAAAATGGATATAATCTAAGACGATTTTATAGTGGAATGTTTGTTAAAACAAAATCAAAAACACTGAAACCGAAAACACGAAAATAACCCGTTTGAAAGGGACCTACAAACGTCAAAGTAGTGTAAACCGTTACCCAGTTATATGTTGAAATACTGAAACAAAAACTGTTTAAAATATAAAAGTAAATTGAATGCATTCCTGGTCCATAGTAATTTCTTTCAGAAAACAGTAATCCTTGTATATTTACGAAAGCAGTTAGTGAAAAAAATTAATAAGATGTAACCATAAGATAAACTCGTCATTATTTTTTTTTATTCAAATGAAAAGTTCACAAATTAATTTTTGCATCAAATTTGCTAATAATAATTGTAAAAAATTACAATCGATCATTTGAAGCTATTTGCAGTTAAAAAAATAATTTAGTCCCCGATCTATCTTAAAATATTGAAAATTAACAATGGCAGCATTTCTATTTCAAACGTGATGCATGACTTATAAAGATTTTAATTTTGGTCAGGGAAGAGGATTTTCGAATTTGTAAAAAAAAATTGCCATTTTTTAAAATTTACACAATTCGTAATTGATGTCAAGATCGTGAACTCATACATATAGGATGATGATTATTATTGTCCAAGCAGATGTTTTTTACCCGTCCGTCATCAGTCAGTCTATCCGTCTGTCCGTCAATCCGTCAGTCCTGTTCAAGTTATCGCAACTGCTCTGAAACCACACAACAGAATTTCATCAAACTTTGTAGATAGTAAGGACATACTATGTAGATGTGCATATCGACAGGAAATTGTGATTCTTTTTTTTCTAGCAGTTATGCCCTTTTGAACATAAAATTTTGGCCTAAATATACTGTTGCAACAGTTTTTCATCGCAACTCCTCTGAAACCACATAAACAGTATTTCATGAAACTTTGTAGTTAATGAGGAAATAATATGTAGATGTGCATATCCACAAGAAACTTTATCAGTTGACTATTTTAGGAGTCATGGGTCTAGCTTTGAAGTTAAGAATCTGGTGAGTTTTTGTTTTCCTAGTGACAATGTGGGGGCGTGGGGTATGTAAGCGTGCTCACAAAGGTTCTTTAATTTGTTCGAGTTTAACCAAACAAGATATGAATGATGAAATATAATAATAGTATAAATTTATGAAAAAATAAAACAACGGACCTCTTATGAATAAAGTACTGATAAAATGAGTAAAAAAATATCAGGCTCAGACGTCGTCTAACATGTCTAACAACATCTTTCATATAATCGAACTGAAAAGCATTTGAATATTAACGTAAATTGAAAAAAAAAAAGACAAGTTGAGGGAGAGAAATTACCAAATAACAAAAAAAAAAAAAAAACAAAACGAAACGTATAATAGAAACATAACACAAATATTGAAAATTTCACCAGCCAAGATTGAGAAAGTCTTGCGGCAAAAAAAACATTTCTAAATTTTAAGAGAAAGAAGAAGACTTCGAAGGTCATAAACGAATACATTCATTGTGTCATTTTTACATCGGATGTGACCTTGAGAGGTCATACCGGTATTATGTTGCCGCAGAAATTTCTTGCGCTTTTGACTGATAACCCAACGTATTTCTTATAAATACGCGGATTATATCAAGTGCAAAATAACATTCCTTATCGCTTGTTATTTCTTCAAAGAATACTATGAAAATATATTTTAAGAACATAGATAAATGATATGAAAATATTTTGTCGTCAGAAATATATATCAGTAACAAATTATGAATACCGAAAATTTGTATTAACGCACGCGGAAGAATATCTCAAGAGATGATCTCCTATATATATAACTGTTTTACAAATATTAATATAATATATAACAACAAACCAGGTTATACAAAATGATCACATCACTACAATATAATAATTATTAGGGTGAGGCTGATTTCCCTGTCATTTATTCATCATCCACACAGGAACTTGTCTCAGAAAAATATATATACATCTATGTACCTTAACCAACTTGCAGGTATAGAGATATGATTTTTTTCTGAGACCATCCACCAGAACTTGCGGTCATCCGATGTTCAGTTCTTCGGTTATTTGATTTAAACACGCTTGTGCGTAGAGTAAAGAGCTCGAGGTAGTGTCAGTTTTCCCTTTATTTGTTTCACTCATAGTATCAAAATCAGTTTAAATGTTTCAAAACATTATGGATTTTGAAAATGAAAGATGCTAATTAATATATTTAAAAGATTTGAAATCAGGTTACATACGTTAATGACATCATATTATTATGCGTTGCTAAACATTGCGGTTTAAGGCGATTTTGACACCAAATTACAAATGTTGCACGTGTTTTTAAATATTTTTCAAATTCTATGGAAATTTTTTTCCTCAGATTTAAAAAAGATATTTTCAATATTTATTGTCCTCAGATATATAAGAGATATTTTCAATATTTATTGTCCTCAGATATATAAGAGATATTTTCAATATTTATTGTCCTCAGATGTATAAGAGAAGTTTTCAATATTAGTTGTCCTCAGATGAGATATTTTTAATATTTATTGTCCTCAGATATATAAGAGATATTTTCAATATTTATTGTCCTCAGATGTTTAAGAGATATTTTCAATATTTATTGTCCTCAGATATATAAGAGATATTTTCAATATTCATTGACCTCAGATATATAAGAGATATTTTTAATATTTATTGTCCTCAGATATATAAGAGATATTTTCAATATTTATTGT